AATTTCGTCAAGATTCATTCATCCAGAATGCTGTAGGTAATGAGACACAGAGAGGATGGCAAAGAGATGGCCAAGACTTACACACAAACCTCTGGATTTTCACGCTACCAACCCTTCATGCAATGCCAAACACAAATAACACAGTTAACCAAATATTCCATTCTGTGACTTTTCCACTATCAAGGACATGAAAACTGATCACGTCTATGTTACTCTAGGCCAGGCATGTCAAACTCAACTTGTACAGAGGGCCACCTCAGCCCTATAAATAATAGTCCAGGGCCGCACTTCAAAATAGAAATATACATTAGATTTTGATACAAGGAAATTTAATTCTATTTATTATTTAGGAATAATTCCAATATAATTACCTAAACTCACATATCTTACAGTTTTAAAAAGCAAGAGAGTGCCATTTTTGACAAGTATCAAACAGCTTTTCAATATGTAAAAAGACAGATTACACAAGAAATTATGTTAGAAATAGTAAAACATTGAATTTCCTGCAGCCTGCTAATTTATGTCTGCGTGAGACTTCTTGTCTTCTGGTCTGTTGGAAAATTGTCTTTACAAAAAATATTTCTACTAAAATTTTAATATTGATTTTAATATCAATTAGCTCTAAAAGTTGAAGGGCCGCACTTTTTGGTTATGGGGGCCGCATGTTTGACACGGCTGCTTTAGAACATGCACCAGCGTTTATATTGAGCAGACTAGCTCAGTCGGTGTACTGTATGCTACGGGTTGAACGGCCGGATAATCGGGGTTCGGTTCCCTGCAGGGTAGGAGATATTTCTCTTCGCCACAGTGTTTACGCGCCTCTAAGTCCATCCAGCATCCTATTCAATATGTACTGAGGGCTTTTCCAGGGGATAAATTGTCTTGTTCTTGAACTTAACCATTCATCTGCTTGTAGTGCCGCGAGAAAGCCACTGCTTACAGATTTTACCTTTACCAGCACTTACGAACCTCAACTGATAATTCTACACAGTTTCATACTAATATCCACCGTGTTAGATAACTGTTATAGCATTTGACAAGATATACTCCATCCAGTATGGGAACGGACGTGCGTCATCGTTACACATCCGCTAGACTCTATTACCAAACCATATCCCGCATTCAAACTCTGGTGGGAAATTCAAACATATTTACACGGGACTCTTTTCCGTAAGGCTCAGGCCAGCTCAGTCGGTATAGCGACCAGGCTGCGGGCTAGATGATCGAACAATCAGGGATTTATTTCCGATATGGGAAATGCATTTCTCCTTTACTACATAACTTCCAGACAAACTATGAGGCCCAATCAGAAACCTATCAAATGGATACCAGTGCAATTTTCCAGGGAATAAACCGACACGGACGTGAAACTGACCACTCACCTCTGTCTAGTGCCGAGGTGTAGACTGGTAGCGCCATATATCCAGTCCCCAATACGTCTTAACGGTGTGGAGCTTATTTAATTAAGCACAGGGATAATTATACCTCAAGCATAAGGTTGCCTACACGAAGTATGACGTTGCCGGGTTGGTAGAGTGGATGCACTGCGGTACCTGTTCTTCAAATGAAAGATATTGCCCTCAAATCCGCCCCACACTTTCAACCATGTTGCATTCTGCAGAGAGAAAAGGTCGCGGGTACTGAGGTTCTGAGGTCAGATGTCGACCCGTTTCCTTTCCTTGCTATAAACACGAACCGAGGCTTGCAAACCGCGAAGAGCGTAAACGTACAGTACTAACCGTCTCGCCTGGCCGCGCCATAGCTCAAGCGGTTAGTCGCTGGCTTCCCATCGCGGCGGCCCGGGTTCGATCCCGGGTATGGTCAAGTGGGATCTGTGGTGGACAAAGTGGCGCTGGGGCAGGTTTTCTCCGAGTACTTCGGTTTCCCCTGCCAATCTTCATCCCACCAATTGCTCCACAATCACCTTCACCTATCATCTGGGGCTGGTACAATAGGCCAGAAGTGGCCGCAATATAAGGGACTTAGTCGCACCCCACTAGCAATAAAAAAACGGTCTCGCCAAGAATTTGGTTTGGACGGTAAGAATTTTGATTAATATTTGAGGTATGTCCGGTGCCTAAACATTTATTAATATTGAGGGTAAGAGTTTTCACGGATTTCCTCCAGGCAAATGCTAGAACAGTCCTTTAAATTAGACCATTACCGATTCATTTCACGTCACTCGTTAATTCATTCATCGATGGCGCTACAGCCTTTCGTTGGTCCCTGGCTTCTTCTTCAGTTTCGTAACCTTTTCTTGCACAGACGGTAGGACCCTTCGGACGAGTGATTAGCTCGTCGCAAGGCCTCTATCTAAACACAGGATTAACGCATACAAAATCATCCATGCCTTTGAGTGGGATTCGAACCCAGGATCCCAGCGTCCTAGCGAGCGAAAACTGTTCATGCCTTAGACCGCTCGGTCACTTGATCGGCTCGTTCCATATCACAACTTGCAAACTATCATCTAGCCGGGATAGCTCAGTCTGTATAGCGACTGGCTACGGGCTGGACGACTGAGTGGTCGGAGTTCGAGTACCGTTGAGTAAAGAATTTTCTCTCCTCCATGTCATCCAGACCGGATCTGGGGTTCAACTAACTTCCCTATCCAAAGGGTACCGTGAACTCTTTCCCGGGGGTAAAACAGCCGGGGCGTGAATCTGACCACTCACCTCAAACCATTGCAGAGGTCAAGAAAATATGGATCCATACATCCATTCCTCCATACGCCTTGATGACACAGTGCTTAATTAGTTAAGTACAGGGACAACTTTACCTTTAACCATCCAGCGACACATGACACGTAGTCCGAATTAGAATAATTAAAACTAAAAAGAAAGATATTCAGTGACTCAAGGAAAAATTTGTGGTGATTCAGGAGAAAATGAAAAGAGGTGAACTTCAAGCAAAACCTGCACAGTAATGTGGAAATTGTGCGTAGTTGACTTTAATAAAGGATAAAGGCAAAGTTGTTCATGTGCTTAACTAAACACTGTGCCATGAAGATGTATGGGGGAGTGGAAGTATAACTCCACCATTCTTGACCTCGTTACTAGAGTGGTAAAATTCACGGCCCGGCCACTTTATCCCTGGTACCGATTGGTTAGGAGGCTGGGTGGGCCCCAGAGCCGGTCTTGACACTCTGGAGCAGAAAAAAATCTTGTTTCTGCTCGGAGTCCCGGCCGTCCAGCTTGTAGTCCATCGCTATACCGATTGAGCCACCTGACTTTACGAGTATTTTTGATTTTCGGCCAATGAAATAAAACCCGATGCTTTTCCATGATTAACCAAACTTCAGAAAATGTAATTTTTAATTCAAACATAAGTTGTTTGGGTTATTCAACAGTTGTTTTTCAAGAGATGGGCTTAGACAGAGTCCAATAATAAGATGAATATGAATAATAAATCAACATAACAGGGAAAAACATGGTCGTGGCCTATTATAAAGTACTATTTCAGCATATACATGGATAGACCGAAGAAAAAAGTTTAAATTGTCTCTGTGCTTAGCTAATTAAGCACTACGCCATGAAGGTGCATGGGGAGTGGATGTATAGATCAACATTTCCTTGACCATGGCACTAGTTGGAGGTGAGTGGTCAGCTTCATGCCCCGGTCGCTTTACCCCCAAAGAAAGTCCCCGGTACCCACTGTATAGGAGGTTGCGTGGACCCCACAGCTGGTCTGGACGACATGGAGAAGTGAAAATTCTTGCCCCACCGGGTCTCGAACTCCTATTTCTCCGTTCTCCAGCCCGTAGCAGTCGCTATACCGACGAGATATCGCGGCTCCCAAGACCGAAGAAAATCACTAAGAACCTTAGCCAGGAAGGATAACCGACTTTCAGGCTGAAAATTAAACCCAGGAGCCTCCGAATATGGCAAAGTTCTCCCTGTGCTTAAGTAATTAAGTACTATACCATAAAAACGTATGAGGGAGTGGAGGCATGGCTCCATTAATCTTAACTGCGACACTAGAATGAAGTGACTGGTAGGATTAACGGCCCTCCTGCTTTTCCCTCCGGGAATAGCATCCGGTGCCCTTCGAACAGGAGGCTTCAGGGGCCAGACAGCCGATCTGAACACTATGGAGACAAGAAAATCCTCTTGCCCTCCTTGGAATGGAACGCCGGGTCATCTGTCGTCCAGCCCGAAGCATAGTCACTACACTGACTGAGCTATCCCCTGAGCTATCGCGGTTCCACCTTCCGAATATGAAACCAGAATATTAACCAGCAGACCGTGAAGTTCGTTTATTCATGAATTGGATACATTAACAAACCCTATAATTCATTCTTAGGACGTCGGAATGCATAGCAACGCAATTGCACCTTTAAAACCAGGCATTTTAAGACGAATTTGGCTGAACCTATTTCCCCCCACCCCAAATTTTTAGCGACCAACTTTGATCTGCTGGACCCCTGACACCTCTGTCACTCGATGTACCTAAACGCATGGTCGGTCATTGCCTTTGACTTGGAGCCTTATATATATATTAGTTGTACAAAAGAATACATTACACACTGCACAGTTCCATAGGTTTATGCATGAACGTTATTTATTGGTTGAAAAATAAGAAAGGACGTTTACTATTGGTCTATATAAAAATGTCCTCCACCTTATCCATGGGTTAGCGGTAGATGGAACCTTTTCAGCATTCAACTCACATTCATGTACGTGGATAACTTTGTACAGTCAACACCATTCAACTGAGAAACACATTTTCAAATAATCTGTTTTCTTCACTCTACAGAATCCCGTAGAATTACATACAGAGAATTATACGTTTCTTTGTTTAATTTAACGTGTTGACTGTCATACATGAACAAGGTTTTGTTATTCTAGAATTGCTGTAGGCTGAGGTATTTGAGGCCGGTGTTGATATTTTCAAGGTGCAATCTTGTACTTTGAGAGCACTGCGCATGCGTGGTACAGGTAACAGGTGGAAATGGAGGGGAATGATTGTTGGCAAGTACACCAGAGGTCAGTCAGTGAGTGGATGTCAGTGAGGTGGGTTGTATTTCGTTGTAACACGGATATCGTAATTAAAATGTGTTGTTTTTTGATTTAATTAATGACGTGGATAACGGTGATTATATAAAAGACTGTTAAAGGATAACTGGTGCTTATTGTAGTTAGTGTTATTTTATATATTGATATAAAGTCTACATTCTTGAATACTTTTATTCAAGTGTGAGCCACTCCTGAGTGACTGGTGGTTACTGTTTGTGGTATGAGATATGGAATCGAATTTAAACAAAACCGCAACTAGCATCTCCTAGGAACATTTTACCGTTGAATCGGTTGTTATACTTCACAGACAATCGCCTGGGAGATTGTGTGTGAATTTTTGAGAAAGTAAAATGTGCGTGAAAGTGTTACTGTGACAAAAATAATTCATAAATACAAAGTTACAACCCAACGATTGGGGAAAAGCAGATTACAGTCTTGTAGTTAGCAGAAGAGAAATTATATACATACAGACAGATAATAAAAATGGCGTCTCCCAGAGGGGAACCGGATTCTACGCCCATTTGCCGGTGCCGTGTCTTGTATCTCGGTTCAGCAGTTCCCCACGTGACCAAAGATGGCCTCCAAGGTATCCAAGAACCTCTGCGTGAGCTATACCCCGAGCAAGGGGCCCTCGGAGCACGGGGGATCGACTCTTGGCTTAGTGTATGGAGTAACGGCTTACTGCTTGAAAATGTTGATGAGAATCATAAAAAAGTAACAAGATTCTTCCCAATAGACACTTTGCATTACTGTGCGGCCGTCAGATACGTCTTGGTACCCGAGAAAACGTCATCAGGCACCTCCCAACCCGCAACACCAAGATTTCTCCCATTGGATTCCCCTTTTGCCCGAAGTCCAAACCCAAGCCATCCGCCCTTATTTGCCGCCATCTTACGCCGGACGACAGGTATCAAGGTGTTGGAATGCCATGCCTTTATCTGCAAAAGGGAAATGGCTGCAAACGCGCTTGTGAGATGTTGTTTCCATGCTTATGCTGATTCATCATATGCCCGGCACATCGATGGGGGCAGCACTAGTGTTTATGGCACCCTCAGGAGCCACAACGCTGGATCACAGCCAATTCTCGCTACAAGCAGCATCGAAAAAGTAGAAGGTTGGCGCCGTATGTCGCCATCGGGAGGTCCTGCCACTAGTGGAAGCACCTTGACGCTAAACAGCCAAATCCAACCGGGACCATCAACACAGAATCAAAATGGAACTCTCACATCAAACGCCACTACGACCGTATCAACTGGGGACGATATATCTATCTACAATGGGGATGAAAATCACAAAGTATGGGCTGGGTCTAGCACCAGCGCCATGGCGGATCGGGAGGAAATGTATGGTAACTACAGTGGCAGCACCATAAGAAGTGCCCGTTCAGGCCGACCGAGGCAGATGGTCACCCCTGTGGCATCTCCACCACCACCCCCGCCAACAAAAGAAGACAGCAAAAGCAAGAAAGCGAATAAAGAACGCGCAAGAAGGAAGAAAATGATGGGTGGTAGTAGAGAAGAGTTATACCCTCTGATGAATGGATCTTTGATGAGAGGCACTTCTTCACATGCCATGGTCAATGGTGGAGGAATGAGGTCTTCCAGTTCTTTGAGTGGGACTCTAATGAAAGGAGGCACTGTCCCACATCAGCACCACTATTCAAACAACACTATAATGAGACCATCGTCAGCCCATCCCATTCCAATGAACGGGTATCATCCTCATCCTGGCACAATTCTGGTAGTCCAGCACCCCGCTACAACCCTGCCACATCCTCGACATATGAAGAAGTCCTCCGGTACCTTCTCACATCGTCCAACAAAGCCTGCCATAGTCATCCCTAGCCGACCCATCATGCAAGCACCTATTGTGCCTATAGGACCTCATCAAGGACCTGTAATGCCAGTCGTAACATCGATTCCACCAGCAACCGGAAAGAAATCGAAACATCACCACCACACACCAGTTGCTATAGAGGAACCAATCTACATGCCGTCTGCACGACCCCTGAGCCCTGTTGCGTCATTTCAACCAGGGCATTTCCCGCACGAGGCGTATCTCATGCAACAGTATGCTAATGCGACTATGGACACAAAGCACAAGAAGAAATCAAGTAAGGGTGATGGAAAGTCTGGTAGTAAAAGGAGTGCTCCTGTTGTTAATGGAGACGGTGCTGATTCGTCAACCCCACCACCAATGATAGTGGTCGAGGAGTCGCCATTCAATACCGGGATATACAGGAAAAAAGGGCACCTAAACGAAAGGGCCTTTTCGTATTCAATTCGTCAGGAACATAGATCGAGGTCATACGGATCCCTGGCGAACCTCAAGTTCGCGACACCAATACCGAACGGCGGAGGACCATCAGAGACTGCGAATAAAGAGGATGTGAAGAAGGAGCGTGAAATAATGCAGATGATGCATGATCTGGAGTTGTCTGGGGACGAGCTCGAGCGGTCAGAGGTGCCTGCGGCTGTGTACGAGAGCAGGAGGGCTGCGGCAGTGACACCAGTATCCGGGCCCCGCCGGTAGACGGCGCCATTGTGCAGGTATGTTCCAGCCTAAAGGCACAGTTACTTAAAATGGCCGACGAACACAGTTCCGCGTCAATGCTTCTTTAGTTATTTAACCCATTGCCATATTTTGACAGCTGATGAGGGGGGAAGAGCAGCTTATTCGGGTGGTACTAACTGATTTAAAGGCTGTCGAACATGATCGGGAGGAAGATGAAATAATGCAATTACGGAATGATAATTTGTACCGTGAATGCACAGTAGTTTTGAGACATACATTTTAAATCGTGCAAATTAATTCCCTATACAGGTATTTTGGTCACAGATAATTCGTTAATACACTAACACAAAAATGTAAAGTTGGCCCTCACTCACCCATGGAGCTGAGCCCTTCTTGAGAAGCCGCAAGTTCTGCAGCTACTCAAGAACTTTCCAGCATTTTATGGAACCCGAAGGTTCATTACCGTGTTCACAAGACCCCTCCACTGACCTCTACCCCGAGCCAGATAGATCCAGTCCATACAATCTCATCCTATCTCTCTTTAATATTGCCCACCAACCTACGCCTTGGTCTTCCTAGTACTCTCTTTCCTTCTGGCTTTCCCACCAATATCCCATATGCGTTTCTCTTCTCCCTCATTCGTGCCACATGCCCTGGCCATCAAAGATGACCCCGCGTTAAATTAATTAACCACCACGACATGAAGACGTAAGGGAACTGGAGGTATAGCTCCACCATTCATGACCTTGGCACCAGATGGAAATGAGTGATCATCCTCACGCCACAGCCGTCTTACCCCCTGGGAAGCAGCTCCTATTAGTCATTGAATAGGAGGCTGAATGGGTCCCAGAGCAGGTCTGGACATTGTGAAGAAGAGAAAAATAAACTTTCCTTACCAGGAATCGAATCCCGTTCAACCAGCACTTAGCCTGTCGCTATACCGACCGAGCTACCACGGCTCCTAATATACTGATTTAGCAGATATTCATTTTCTTTCAGTAAAAGCAAAAAGATAAAATGCACTTTTAGAATCATGACTCTCCAGATGGTCCCTTGGTTCGGCCCTACGGTCGCGTCAGCTCTGCACAAATTACTCGGTTCTTCTGAGTCGGAAGAGACCAGACAGTTTAATCTGCAGATGCCGTAGTAGCTCTGTAGTTAGTAGAGGAAGGAGGCCAGGGAGGAAAACATAACTGAAATTGAAGTGTAAGGCATGATCTCGCCACCTCCGTGGGTAGCCCTGCTGTTCCGTTCCAAGGAAACTTAATGTTGTTCCATCCCTTTCATCCACAGAATAACTACAGAAAGTCTGTCTGTAGGCGTTCCCATAATCTTGTCCCATGTATCTTGACTGATGATTTCGAGCAGTTGCAGTCCCATAAAAGTACTCCCGTCTGAACCGAGTCTTGGGTTTGATTCTCAGTAAGAACAAATTTTCTTTACCACCGTGTCCAGCCCACTAATTCTTTTATCCAGTCGGAACTATAAGCTATTTTCCTGGGATTAATCGGACGCAGCGTGAAGCTTCTCTATCTCCAGTGCCTCATACGTCCTCATGGCGTGACATATAGGTACAACTAAAAATATCAACAATACAGATAAAGTTTTGTGGCTGAATTATTAATTTATTCTTTAGTAATTTCCTACGCAATGGGTGCGGCGGGCTCCTTCCTCGGGGATAAAGCGGCCGGGGCGTGAAGTTCACAACTCACCTTCAACTATTGCCAAGGTCAAGAAAACGTGGATCTATACATCCACTCCCCCATACGTCTTCATGGCATAGTGCTTAATTAGTTAAGTACAGGAACAACTTTAACTTTAGCTTATTTCAACATATTCTTGGTGTAGAAGTTAAGTGTATACTGAGATAAGAGGGTTATCTTATATTCTGAGGATATGTGGATTTGAAAGGAGACGGAAGTGTCCTGATTCAGAGTGGCAACTCTTGATTTGCTTTAAAAGATGATGAAACTACGAAAGAATAGCGCGATGGAGATTCGTACACTATTCTCGCATACAAGTATAGAATTTTAATGCTATATTAACCTCTTCAGTTCTTTATTTGGGAAGTGCCACTGGTTGAGACATGTTAGCTCAGTATGAGAAGTGACGGGCGTGGATCGCAGTGGCGTCATCCCTAGATCTGAGAGTGAGAACCTCTCGAATTCAACTCAGTTTCGCTCTGTTTGGTTCTTAAAATGTTCTTACAAACGGTGAGAGTTGATGGTACTTATTTAATTTCTGTTCAAACATTTAAAATTTTAAGCTAATTAATTACTCGTGTATGTTAAATGAACTATGTAAAATGCATTACACACACTTTCTCGTATAATTTTCACATGTAAACAAAGGAAAATCACTTTACACCTTTATTGTTGGTGAGTTCTGAACCGGGGTACATCAGTTTCCCATTCTGAGAGCAGCAGGAAGTTCGCCCCCGCCCCCTCCCCCCAACACCTGAAGCCCGTCTCTCATTCCCACCTAGTGCAGGCCTACCAGAAATACTGACCCACACATACCATCCGAGTGAGACCCTCGGGCAGAGGGACAAATTATTCTATGGTTGCTTTTAGGTCCACAGTAGAAGTCGGGGTAGCTCAGTCGGTATAGGTATGGCCTACGGGCCAGACGGCGGCGATTTGATTCCCGGTAAGGTAAAGTTATCCGTGTGCTTAACAAATTAAGGACACCCACACGAAGACGTATGGGGAAGTGGATGTATAGATCCACGCTTTCTTGGCCTCGGCAGTAGTTAGAGGTGAGTGGTCAGCTTCACGGACCGGCCGCTTTACCTCGAGGAAAAAATCCCCGGTACCCATTGAATAGGAGGCTGGGTGGACCCCAGAGCCGGTCTGGACGACGTGGAGAAAATTCTACACCCTACCAGGACTCGAACTTCGACCCCTCGGTCGTCCAGCCCATAGCCAATCGCTATACTGACTACGCTATCCCCACTCCTGTTTGATTCCCGGTAGGGGAAAGAACTTTTCTCTCCCGCAGGATGCCCGGATCAGATCTGGGGCCCACCTAGCCCCTTAAAAATAGGTACCGGAAGCTGTTTCTTTTGAGGTAAAGCGGCAGGGGCATTTCGATCTGCTGAGGTTAAGAAGGCTGGATCTCTAACTCCACTCCCCCATAAGTCTTCATTAAGTAAGCCCAAGGATAACTTTGCCGGTGACGGTAGCCGAGCGGTCTAAGGCATGTAATGTCTTCGCTCGCTCGGAAGCCGGGATACGAGGCATGGATGTTTGGTGTGTGTGTGTGTTTATTCTGTGTTTGTGCTGCCCTGTGTTTAGGTACAGGCATTGCGACGAGCTTAACACTCATACAGTGAGTCCTACCGTCTAAAAAATGATAAATGAAACTGAGAAATCAGCCCCATGCTCCAAAGTGAGAGCAAGAGGAAGAAAAAAAGGAATAGCTTTATCTCCATGTTGCTGTTTTCGTCTGTACAGAACCAAGACAAGAATTTCATATTAAAATACAAACTTTTAGCATCAACATTAAGTAAAGTCAGCGTGACTCCTGTCCGAAGAGCTACGTCAGTAGTGACGATGGGAAATGAAAAGCAAAAAGGGATTATGTTTATAACACGTTTCATGAAAATCCCTTCATGCCTTCGAACGTAATTAGCAGGACGTACAAACAGTAGTGGTGATACTTTCAGCTTCTTGTTATTTATAAATTAGGGAACCTAGTGTAAAATTATAACAGATCTAACACTATAATGTAAGCCAGCCATCGGCAGTTAATATTAATTTGTACGCATTTTCTTGGGTGATTAGTCCCTGATGATGGAGAAAGAAATTTTCCGAAACACTTGAGTTCCACTCCACAGTGACACAGATGATTGTCCGATTATCCTTGGTGATGATGGCAGAAACAATACCCGAAGCGCTCATCCAAGAAGTTGGATACAAATCAGTTTTAACCGCAGATGTCTGGGACTTCTCAATTATTGTTATAATTTTGGGGCACGCGGTAGCGTAGTTGGTTGAGGCTCTATGCTAAAAACCAGAAGGTAGCGGTTTCGAGTCCCGATGAGGTGGATATTTTTCAACTGACCTAATCCCTCCAGCCAGCCGCACTATGGCCCTAGGGTCGACTCAGCCTCTAACAGAAATGAGTACCAGGAATTTTCCTTCGGTAGGGGGGGGGGGCTGTGCGTAAGGCTGACAATCTTACCGCCATCTGTGAGTCGACTGTCTAGAAAATATGGGAGCCTCGAAGTCTCACAACCCTATCGGCCTCCACGGCCTGTTACAGGGATAGCTTTACACTTTCACCTATATTGTTATAGTTTTAGCTCAAGCAAAATTGTAGAATAATTGTTAATATCGTCCAGTGAGAATCAGTTTGTAGATATTTACTGCCTCTATATGTTCTTGTCGTCAGCTGTCTATCTTCAGAAGGCATAAGTTCATGTTCAACAAAGTTCGTATTACACACTTAGAAGTTTTTATCAGCGATAGTTATAAAGAGTTCTCTCTCCTGGGATATAACACTGTGAGGTCCGTTGGAAGACAAAAGACGCTGCTTGGCTTATTCTTCGATGCTTAAGATGGATTCGACATGTTCCTGCGAAAATTCTTTGGACTTTCAACGGATTACAAGTCAGTATATCCCAGAAGACAGAACTCTTCATACTGCCTCTGGGTTCCAACCCACTCCGTGCTTTTCATTTCCCACCATCAATAATATTGTCACGTGTTCATGGGGCGTGACTAACAATAACGGGATTTGGATTGAATAATTGCATTTATTACTCACTTCTTTACAATCACTCGTAATCACAATAAATTACAATAACTCACAATAAATGTCTGCCTATGACTCGCTCCATACTGACTGAACTACGACTGACTCCTAATTTATGATTGACTTCATTCTCAAAGTCAAACTCAAAGTTCAGTCGGCCAGTCTGTCTTGGAATAAAACACTCATCCGGGGCTTAAGACCAGGGGCAATTTACTGCCAGACAGTTGCAGCCTTGTTGATGAACGGCCTCTTAAATAGCGTATCGGTATCCAAGGAA